CGTGTTAGCTAGCTATATCGCCCGATAGTAAATAACCCAATTCGAATTGCTAGCTAGGTATATCGGGTAGTATATTGAGTTAGCTAGCTAGATCGCCCGATAGTCGATATTTTTTTTCTCCTTGGGTGTGTATGTAGAACTTTATTTCTCTTCACAGAAAGGAACAAATTTTCAAGTTTAATCTAGATATTCATTTGTTATATATCTAGAGATATTGATTGAGTACAACAGGGGGCAAACAAGTGGTATATTCCACTTAACCCGATGAATGTGAGGCCATCAGCTTTTTCGACAAAATGGTATCATCACACGATCTCTAGTATTTCCAGGGTTGACCTTAAATGGTAGTCTTCTAATTTTTCGTGTATATATTCTTTTCTCTCACACGATGTCATCAAACCGGTGTGAATGAAGTCATGCGCAGTAAGACGTTTTGTAAAATGAATACATTTGCCATGAATAAAGAGAAAATGACGTATTTCTTACTACTCACCTATACATGTCCTCGAGTTGAGGGATGTCTTGGTGGATTTTTTTCATCGATAAACAATTCCATTATGCACCTTTTCGTGCATAATAGTCTCTCGTATATATAGTACACGCTGACTTCACCGTTTTTATCGATAGTTATCCAATACGAAATGATGAGGATTACATCACTACTCTCACTCTTTCTATATGTGTTACTGATGCCTATATTCAATTATGCAACTTCGATGATGGGAACATTGGTCGTAGTGGATGTGCCTCATCAACGTTGGAAGTTATTGGCCGATGCAAAACCGAGCCCAACTCAGAATATTTCACTTATTTTTGTCATTAAAAATAATGATAAACAAATTTCAAATTTAGAAAGAAAGTTCCAACAAGTAAGTGATCCAACTCATGCCGACTACGGCAACTTTTTGACCTATGATCAAATACATCAACAGTTACTCAGTGACACAACAAAAAGTGGTGCAATTGTCGAAAAGTGGCTACATAAACATGATGGAATTAGTATCAGATCGACTGCTCATAAGGAGTTTTTGATTGTACAATCACCACTACCTGTTCGTATATTGCATATTCAGAAGTAAAGCCATTTTACGCTACAACTTGTTCAATAAAATGTCACTAATAGAGATACAACTAAAGATCGAATGTACTGGGCGAGGTCACCCAATAAGCAGCCAGTCAACGGTTCATCTAATTGAACACTTATTTCAAACCAGCTTAGATACTTACGAGCATCGCATCAGTAGACAACTAACATTCAAAGGAAAGCAATTTCAATTACCAAGCATTGTTTCTGACCATATTGAACACATTGAAGGATTAAGTAGATTTCCAGTTGTGCTAAACAGAGCGACACTGAAACATCCATTAGCCGACAAGAGACAATCGGATGCCCCTATCATAATAATTGTTCAGAAAAATGGAAACAAAATTGAGTTTTATATTCAATTAATATGTTCCAATGGTAAAAATGCATCTAATAGCATATGTCCAGAATTTAAAGGCTACAAAGTCACTTTACAAACTCTCGCATCAACAGCAAAGCTAACTGTGTCGTCAAAGAACGCCAACTGTCAAGCGTGCAATCAAGCGAGGTTGACTATCTCAGATGTCTGTACAGATTCTAATTTGAATGGTGATAGTGTGTTATGTCATTTCTTTCTCATATATAATATAGATAAATATCAGCAGAGTAAAGTTTCTGTTGAATCAAAATTTGTTGAGAATGGCCAGACAAGTTATTCTGCTTCAGACAGTCAGCAATTTGAAGAAGTATGTGTAGGTACACCATCGCTTTTGTCATCACTATATAATGTCAGCACGAGTACACTTAAAGAGAAACGTCATGCTAAGAGCAGACAAGCCGTTGTTGGGTTTTCACAATATTATGATGTTAAATCGATCAAAGCATTTGCGCAAAGCTTTGGAAAAAACTTCAATCTAAATATAGGCAAAGTCTATGGAACTGGTTATGAGAATAAATCGTATGATGGAGGTGAAACCTCGTTGGATATGGAATATATGGCAGCAATGGGTGCCGGTATCGTAACAGATTATATTTCAGGTGACACTAACAGTACTGGTTACACACAATTTTTCGCTACATTAGCGACATTGGAGTCAAATAAGCGTAATGTTGTTCCACTCGTTTATTCCATAAGTTATGCTGACAGTGAAAGAACATATGAACCAAACGCTGTTCGTATGATTGATATACACTTTATGAAGATGGGGGTCTCGGGAAAGACGGTTTTTGCTAGTTCAGGCGACAACGGAGTATGGGCTGGCTCTGGTGCTTGTCGAAAACGTTTTGACCCATATTATCCGGCTTCGTCACCTTATATCACAAGTGTTGGCGGCACACAGTTAGTTCGCGGTATTAACGGTAGTTGTCGATACATACCACAAGCGAGTGGCATATGTCTTGAAGAAATTGTTGCTTATAAGAATGACTTGACAGATTGCCTCATAACATCTGGTGGTGGATTTTCAGACTATCATTCAATGCCGATCTGGCAAAAGACATTTGTTCAGAGTTACCTAACTTCAGCCAGTAAATGTCTACCACCGTCAACATATTTTAACCAAAGCAATCGTGCGTACCCTGATATTAGTCTACTTGCACATAACTACAGGACGAAAGAGGATAGCACTGATCAGCTTCAAGATGGTATATGTAAAGAACGATCGTTTTTAAGTATGATAGAACCCTTTGTTTGCGTTTTTAGGTACGTCAGCCAGCTCTCCAGCCATTGCTGGTCTGTTTAGTTTAATTAATGATCAACGATTAAAACTTGGTATGAAGCCATTGGGTTTCTTAAATCCTTTACTGTATCGATTAGCAAAAACAAACCCAGAAGTATTCTACGATATTATTACAGGCAAAAACAATTGTAATACTCAGTTATGTTGCCAGTATGGTTTTAAAGCACAAAAGGGATACGATCCTGTCAGTGGTCTTGGGTCAATTAATCATGGACTAATGATGAAATTGCTGACGCAAAACCCAACTGATTGATTGCAGTAAATCTTCTCATATAAAACTGCACTGTTAGTGCCCAGTTAGCCTAGCTATTTAGAGAACTATTTCATGTTTAACAGCACAGTTGTCTGTTGTGATAACTTTCACTCAACAAACATTGAGACAAATGTGAAAAGCATCAAACTTATGGTTCGATCTTCGGAAGTCGTCATCCATCTTCTTACTAGTCACGCTCGTTCACAGTGAAGAAAGACAAATGACTCACAATTCTCCGAATTAAATATGCAATTTTTGTACGGTTTGAAGAATAAACATAAACAAAATGTGAAACTCGACTGGATACAATCTGTGCAGTGGCCAGTGATATTATGCTCCATTCCCATCCTGTTAAAAGGTTTGCAAAATTGTTTGGGGAGTCCAAGTACACTGGGAGTCCAAGACATCCATATGGATAAACCTCTGACTTGAACCTCGATCAATCATCATTCTCATACTCTATTTTTTATGCTGAATCTGAAAAGTATACATTCGAAAAGCTAAAAGAATTCCGACTGTTTTGAAACTGAAGAGTTTCTCGAAACGCAGTTAAAGGTAGATAAATCTATAGTCTATATTTGGACAAAATATTTTCTGTTAAGAATATGTTTAAATTATTGCTCATACTACTATACTTTTACGTTCTGTCTTGTGGACGCTTTGGCGTTTCTCCGTTCTACATTTCTGTTATAGACAAGTGTAGTATCAGTAATGCATGAATAGATAATATGACAATTTGATTAACGTCATTTTAGTGTCGGAACGTAGAGGAAATTAGTCGATCAGTGCCATATATCCACATTGTCAGTTTATGGATTAAATCTATCAGTATCTCAAGGACAGTCTTATTATTATGACATCAATTTATATTCAGAGGATATAATTCTCTCTCTTAAGACAAATTGAAACGAATAATTAGAGAGAGAAAGAGAAAGAGCGAAGATATAACAAGACTGGAAGAATAGTGGAACAATGGGCATTCAGAGGAAAAACACACAGAGTAAGAACAATCTGAACAGGGCTGTTCATCGTTAGTATATTTCAGAGAGAGAGTCTGTTCGTAGTTAGAGATGACGGAGAGAAGACATAAGTGTATACAGTGGAATTAGCATATTAACCTTAGGATGTATTTCTTATATGTGTGTGTGTCTATCTTTTCATGTATTGTGTGTGTTTCAACGTATTATCTGTTGTGTGAGCTTATAAGTTAATTCAAATAAACATCAGTGAATCCGTAACGTTATATTTTATCTCAATTATCCATCAACATACAATTCCAAGTTTAAGTTAAAATATTACATTTATATAAGAAGGGGAAAATATTTTGTTACACCTACGATTAACTATGATTGGATTATATATGATTATCATTATATATAATCCAGATGTTGAGCTTGATCCATTAAAATCGCAGAGAAGTCTTGGAAGATGACTTCTTCTCTGCGATTCTAATGGATCAAGCTCAACATCTGGATTCTGTTGAGAGTCTTCTTTGACTCTTAGGAGGTTCTTTCTTTTGAGTGAACATCCTGATGTAGATATTTTTATTCCAAACTTACCTGATGATGAACCCTAAAGCAAGGTTCGAAACGGTCGTCGTAAGTAGCTTGGAATAATCTTGTGAACGCACCCTCACACACACACACTCACCCTCATGGTGTTTCCTTGTCATTACCTGTGAAGAGAACAGAAAATTGACTATAAATTATCGTCACATGTATTTTTTCTATCTTCATAATGGGTTTATTTCTTTACTGCAGTTAGCTATAACACTTTAGTACAGTATTTGTGAACTTTATTCGGGTCAAAAGAAACTTTGAGTAAGCCTCTATTACTGGTGAAAATCTCAACTCGTTTGGTTGACATCTGGTGGAGATATTTAAATTTCTTATCGCCAAGTTACTTATGGGACACTCTGGATACCCAAAAGACCCTTGACAGATTTGATTCAAAATTTTTCTGTGTATGGTAGGGGCCATAAATAGTCATATTGCTAGGTCTTATTGCAGACCGTCAAGTTCAACTATGTATAAGAAAGGGTTAATAGAAACTCAACGAAAAAACTAATATTCTCATGGGCTTCAAGTGAATCTGAAATAGATTCATAGTTTGTTTTATCCTAGATTCTCGTAGAAAGAGTCTGGTTTTAGAGTTATTAGAAACTGACTAAAACTCTGCTAATCTATGATACTTCTAGAGATATTAGCTCCCTATATGGCAAGAAAAAATAGTTTGCTCTGTATGATCACTCGGGGTTACCTTCAGTATCCATTAATAACATATAATCATATTCATCACGATCTTCTACTTTAATTAACTGTATGTTAACACCGCGAGTACATTGACCAGCACTTGAACGAAAACGTACACCAAGCATCATATTAAGTAAAGTTGATTTATCGGAGCTTTGTACACCTAATATACTTAAAACGAAAATGTTTATGTCATTTTTTTTTGTTATGCTTTGCAATTTAGTGTTTAACACCTTTAACACTGTACCAACCCATTTGTCACAAGTCATACCAGCGTCTCCACCTAACAATTCTATTGGAAATCCATCAATCAAATATTGTGCAACCATCTCTGGATAATAATAATAACGTGCTGGATCACAGGTGTGCAAGTGACTACATTCTCTCCATAAATGCTCGACGGAAACAAGAGTGGCTGCATAAGTAGCTTTAGCTTCAATGAATTTAGTTTTAAGAAAATCACCGTTGATTTTTTGTCTAATTGCTTGTTGATATGCATTGAAAGCTTCGTCACGTTTTCTTCGTACGTCTTGTATTACTGGCACTGAATAATCATCAATACCATTGATCATTTCATTTGTAGCTATTATTCTTTGATCGAAATTTGGATGGCTTAAAATATTCGTAAAAGTTTTGATGATATCTAATGTTTCGATATCAAACGTTACAGAGTGACGATAATGTTCTTCTTCTCGAATTTTATGCTCTAATGCACGTTGTTCTGAATAATCATTTTTTAAACGGTTGAATTGTATACGATATTTTGATTCAGTGTTAAAACTATTTCGTAATAATAATTTATTCTGTCTTAGTGTTGAATAATCTTGATTTTGAATCACATCAAGTACACTGGTCTTACTTAGTACTGGCCGATAAAATAATTCTGTATCATTTATTACATCCAGACTATTATTATTATATTTGAAATTTTTGGTTTGTTGAATGCATGCCGCTTATAAATTCCTAAGTACACCATTGATTGTACCGGTTAACATGTATTGCTGATACTCATTGATATTTGATTTTATGTTAGTCATCGAAACATTTCAGATGATATTTGTTGCATGCATATCTCGTAATTTAGTTGGTAATTCATTCAACATAGTAATCGATGTGCTCAGCAACAGATCATCATTATCACCAAATCTACAATTTATTTTTCTTTAAATTCTTGAACGTTTTTTAATAAGCTTATTATACTTTGATCTAAATAAATACTGTCTTGTTTTAATCGCGAAATGGTTTCACTGTTAAACAAATGCTGTAATGCTGGTAAGACCACACCTAGTTTTTTACTAGCATTTAAACAATATATAGCAACTGTATGTAGAAAACTTTTCATTTTATCTCGAATAAGTATTGCTGGTAATAAATTGAAATCAACTGTTAAGTTTGAATTATAAATAATATGATATACAGTTCGAATTATGTTGACTATTTCTTCTCCATTATGATTATCATTAATCGGTAATGGAAAATTTTCTTTTTCTAAAATATTTTCTAAATTAATTACAGCATCTTGATAATTATTAATATCTTCTTTAGACATTAACTGTCGAAATGGTATATTAATTGGAGTCATAGATGGATTCCAAGCATCTGACATAACACGTTCAATTTCACAATTAATTAATGGTATATGAGAGTATTTCATCGCTTGTTCTAACCATGCACGTTTAATAAATCTGGCTGCTTCACGTATATATGGGTCTTTATGATCTTTCATCAACTCCCATATAGGTACTGAAGATTTTAAATCGGATCAAGCAATTATATTCTAAGTTGAACTGTGGGTGTTTAATAATTTATCAAATAAATCACGATTTGTACACGGTGGACCGTAACATCTAATATGAGTTTTAACTTGGGCTTCTTTTCGTTGGTATGTGTTTTGTGTATGTTCATCAATATCGCCAAATAATTCATAGGAAATACTTCCACCGATATTGAGCTTTTGAACACCGGCACCAATTGTTGTATTAAAATGATTTACTCCAATTTTTTCTAAGCTACCAACAGAGGATAAATTCTTAGTTGTTATTGATATTGTACATAAATAAATCCCACCAAGGTGATTTACACCAGTAGGTACGTGTGAATTGAAGTCATTTAAAAATTATTTTTAATTTTTTTTAACTGATTTTAAATTATTTATAGAATGTGCAAAAGTTTCTGATTCGTTTGACAATCGCATTTCTTCAAATGGTATGCGAAATGACTTTATTGGTACAAATGAATAATATGTTAAAAAACTTCTGTCGATAACTTCGAATTTTGTTCGTATTCTTCCAGACTATTTTTTTTAATTTTATGCAATTCTCCTCCAAGATGAAAGTCCCATTTACTCGCTGATAAATTAGCGACTACCGTATAACCGCACGTTTGGACAATCTTGTCGAATTGATTACTAGCATCAATACTTGTAAGTTTATGATATATCATATTAAATGGTAGTTCAGGTAGGTTTAATGGACAGTAATCTGGCTACCGTAATAATGGCTTTGTGGCTTTTTCACCTATTCGCATGGAATCAATAAATGAAATACCATAGAGTGCTGCTCCTTCACTGATACGTCCAATTAATTCTTTGTCGGAGTATTCTTTTGTTTTCAGATCTTAGCTTTTAACTGAATTTAACTCATCTACGATTTGCTTCAAGAGTTCGGTTGGTTGATTTGATTCGACTGCACTTAATTTCAATTCTAGTATTTTTAATGTATCAGTGATTAGCTTGAAATTTTCTTTCATATCTGCGGGCGTTAAAGTTGAACTTTCTTTTAAGTTATTCAGCATTTTTGTAGCNTAAACGATTGATTCGTGACTTTTCATCTTCGCTGTTCGTTTCTGTGGAAAACTCAGAAACTATTAATTGCATATTTTGTTCTGTTAAATCATTAACAGTAGGTATATTATGTTTGCAAAAATGGTCAGTAATCTCTAACGGTAGATTATATTTTTGAATTTTCTCTCGCAAATCTGTGTCTTTGATCCATAGATTCCACAGTGGACAATCAGGCGGACATTTGGGGAAAAATCGAAAGCGAGATTTTTCAAGATTTAAATAGTGTCATATATACACTATTAAACGGCCGATTTAACGGCGGAAAAAGTTTGATCCAAATGCTTAAGTCGGCTGAGAAAGGCAAGCCTCAATTTTTGGCTGATTTTTCGTAGCTTCTATGAAAACCTCTTTTTTTTC